ACTATGGTTTCTAAAACCGTTCAGATTATTTACCTATAAGTATCCAATGAGTCTTCATTGTATATACTGCAAAGAATCTTTTATTGTTTAGTCGCTAAGTTGTATCCTACTCTTTTGCAACCCATGGACTATAGCCTACCAGGCTCATCTGTCCATGAGATTCTCCAGGCAAGAATACTGGAATGGGTTGCCATTTCCTTCTCTAGGGGATCTTCCTGAGCCAGAGATCGAACCTGCTTTCTTGGTCTTTGAGATTGGCATGCAGGTTCTTCACCACTGAGCAACTGGGGAAGCCCTGCAAAAAATGTTAGGAGTGTGTGAAAGGAGGCAGCTCAGAATCTTGGGTGAGTCATCTTGTGTATTCTGAAGTATGTGTGTGTATATGACCCACATTTATGAGTATGCTTTTGAGATGACAAAAAGGAGACTTGTTTTCATGATTTTAAAAAAAGATAAAGCTGCATGAAATGTTACTGGATGGTGAAGTTAGAATATGAATGGAAAACATTGTAGGGGGTGTGGTGGAAAAGTCCCAAGTTTTTATCTAGCATAGTTTGCTATTAAGAACCCTACAGGAACATTTTGAACCTCTGTCCCTTATAGCCCCCAGCTTGTAGTCTATTTACACTTTATTCCTAAAGCTTGCATCTCACATCCTTGCTTGTAATAGTTTCCTGCTGCTGCTGTAACCAGTTACTACACATTTAGCACCTTTAAACAACCCCAGGTTTTAATGTTGCAGTTCTGGTGGTCATAGTCCAAAATGCATTGGACTCACTTGACTAAAATCAAGGTGATGGCATGCCTGCGTATCTCCTGGAGGATCCAGGAGAGACTGTTTCCTGACCTTTTCTACCTTCTAGAGGCGACAAAAATTCCTGGGTACGTGTCCTGTGCCTCCACCTTCAAAGTGCATCACTCCAGTCTCTGACCTTGGCTTTCATCCTCATGTTTCCTCTCTCTGAATCTAATTCTTCTACTGCCCTTTTATAAAGATGCTGTGATTACATTGGGCTTACCCAGATGATAGTCTTCCACCTCAAAATCTTTCAGTTAATCATATCTGCAGTGTCTGTGCACTGTGCAAGGTAACATACTGACAGTATCCAGGAATTCAGATGTGAGTGTTTTCGTGTGTGTGCACGTTTAGTCGCTCAGTCATGTCCTATTCTTTGTGACCCCATGGACTGTAGCCCACCAGGCTCCTCTGTGCATGGAATTCTCCAGGCAGGAATACTGGAAGAGGCTGCCACTTCTTTCTCCAGGGGATCTTTCCTACCCAGGGATTGAACCCCAGTCTCCTGCATTGCAGGCAGATTCTTTCCTCTCTGAGCCATCAGGGAAGCCCATGAGCATGTTTACGGATAGGCTTTTCTGCCTACCAGACTGACAACTGCACTCAGCCCTTGTCCTAGACCCAGGATTCCCTTTCCCTTGTAAAATCTCTCCTTTATGACCTCGCTTGGTTTTTCCCTATGACCTCACCACGTCCAACCTGGAGCAGAATTAATAGATTTCCTCTCTCTACTCCCTTAGTGCATTATACTCACCATCTGGCAGTAGGGCCAGTCTAATTAAGTAGGTAAGTATTTGTCTCCTTTATTGGGCTGTGAGCTTTCATTAGAGTGTGTTGCTTTGTGTCCCCACTGCACCATTGCATAGAATCTTGGAACTAGTATATGTTTAATAAGTGTTTATGAAATGATGAGTTTGAATGCTGACATTTAACTGTGTATAATAGCAACCACATTCAGTCTTTCTGATTTATTCATTTTATTTTAGTTAACATGTATTTATCGTTGGACTAAAAAGATGAATAAAACACACCCTCACCCCAGAGGCACTTTGGTAGAACCAAAGACATATAGTTAAAGATATAAGCCAATAGTGTGGGGTAGCATGTCAAGAAAGCTGATAGATGTAGGTAGTTTCACAGGTGAGAGGGATGTGAGTTAAGTCTGCCATGGTGGTAATAATATAATAGTAATGATAATAATAATGGTGACAACAGTTAGCTGCAATAAAAACAGTAACAAGAATAGCTTTCATTTATTCAGATTGTTCTATATGCCAGTGCTGTTCCAGGTACTATGTTATATGTACTATAATAATCCTGTTTTGTAAATGAAGAAACTATTTGCAGAAGTTCAGTTCAGTTCAGTTGCTCAGTCATGTCCGACTCTTTGCAACCCCATGGGCTGCAGCACGCCAGGCCTCCCTGTCCATCACCAACTCCTGGAGTTGACTTAAACTCATGTCCATTGAGTCAGTGCTACCATCCAACCATCTCATCCTCTGTCGTCCCCTTCTCCTCCCACCTTCAATCTCTCCCAGCATCAGGGTCTTTTCAAATGAGTCAACTCTTTGCATCAGGTGGCCAAAGTATTGGAGCTTCAGCTTCAGCATCAGTCCTTCCAATGAATATTCAGGACTGATCTCCTTTAGGATGAACTGGTTGGATCTCCTTGCAGTCCAAGCAACTCTGAATAGTCTTCTCCAACACCACAATTCAAAGGCATCAATTCTTCAGTGCTCGGCTTTCTTTATAGTCCAACTCTCACATCCATACATGACTACTGGAAAAATCATAGCTTTAACTAGATGGACCTTCCTTAAAGAAGTTATTTGCCCAAAATTACAAAGCTGATAGGTAGCAAAACTGGGTTAAGAACCCAGACAGAGTGATTGCTTATAATCACTGTGATATGCTCATTTCACATAAGATTTAGTAGTGATTTATGAGTAGCCCAGTAGTGAATGGTATTCTTTTTGTTTTGTTTTCAGAATAAGTTTTATTATGATAAAATTCACATAGCATAAACTTCAGCATTTTAAAGTGTATAATCAGTATTTTTTAGAAAATATTCACCCCAGTGTATAACCATCACCAGTGTCTATTTCAGAACATTTTCCTCGTCTCTCCTAAAGAACCTCCATACCCATTAGCAGACCTTTCCAAAAATTCCCCTTTTCCCAGCCTCTAGCAACCATTGTCCTGCCTTCTGTGTCTACAGTTTTGCCTAGTTGAATGGTAGTCTTAACAGGAAAACAGGCAAACAATCTCAGGTCCATTCATCTAGAAACTGAAGCTTCTTGAAATTAGGTCACTGATAGCATGAGCTATTATGTGACAATAAGAAAATACTTGAGAACCTCAGTGAATGTTTATATATAGTTTGCATTGGAATTTCTGGGTCGAAATTTTAATTCTGCAATGAGTATAGCAAAGCTTGAATGTCTATGACTAGATTCATTTAATCTGTCTTTCAATAGAATTGCAATACATTGCCTTAAAGAAGTTTGTAATGATGATTGTAGATTGACCAAGATGTTGAATGTGTGAAATGCTCCGTAATTCTTTTTTGTTTTCCCTAATTCACAACTGTTTTGAAAGATTCAATTAAGGATCTTGATGTTTCCAAATTGATGCTTTCCAAACCAATTTAAAGAAATAGAATCATAAACTAGCTGGTTTGCCTTTTAGAAATGAAATGAGTGAAGAAATAGTATTTTGAACAAGAGTGAAGGAATAGTGTAGTTAAGCTAGAAGGTCTTATGGTGTCTCGTTGGCTCCTGGAGTTTCTTGGGCAGCACTGATTAAACTCACACTGAGAGAGGAACTGATTCTCACTGCTAACCTGAAGGCTGAAGATATCAACTTGAAGATTTCCTGCTGCTCCTGTTAGTGCAGTGGCTAGGAAATGGGATTCTGTTTTTAGGAATGCATGCCTGAGTCAGGTTTGCACTTTAATGTGGCAGTTCCTCAGATGTGTCTTATGATTTGGCTTTTTGGACTACGTTTCATTTATGTCTTTATATGAACTCCAGGTCCTTGGTTAGAAAACTGAAATGGGCTATCATTTATAGGAGCTGGAGTTAAAATAGCTTATTCTCAGTGCTTATTTGAAAAATTCCCTGACTCTGACTAAAATGATAATGGTGACATTTTACGGCAAGTGAATGGGTTTTGATTTTGTTTTGTGAATTTAAATGTGTCTTAACAGACTTTTATTAATGTGAATGAATTAATCATTTAAAAATGCTCAGAGGTTTCTGAGGTTTTAGGAGAGCAAAAGAAAAAAAAAATGACTGTCAAATCACCATTTCAGCTTTCTCATCTTAATAAAGTCACAGTGATTGAAGGCTGATGATCAGTTCTCAACTGTCTTGCAAAAAAACTTAGGCTGTCATGGATTGACAATATAGTTGAACTGTGTTCTAACTTGCTCCTTTTTGAAATTCAGTCTTGCAGCTCTACTATCTCAGTCTCATACAAAAATAAAAGGGAGATGATTTTCTGAGGAAGACAATGTTCATTTCAGTTAATTTCACATGAAGTATTCCCCCTACTTGAAATCTAACACTAAGCTAGTGTTCCTTCTGGTATCCCTCTGAGAGCCTTGTGGTAGGAAGAAATGATGTATTTTCTGGTAGTTTTCATATACAGTATACTTTTTTTGAACAGAGATGAAGTCTTAGAGTTCTCTTGTAGTATCTTGTGAAGTTTTTTTTTTTAAAGAGAATTTAAAAATTATAATGAAATCTTTAGAGGCATAGAATTTATGATTTCTTCTCAAATGGGAAGAATGATACTGAATAAAACCATGTTCTACTGCAGCATGAAACATTTAAAATGTCAATGTTAGGTAGTTTATTGGTTGAAAATAAATTGTTAATGAAATAATATTTTTGAAGGGATTGTTTCCACTTATTTAAATACTATTCAATTCTCTAAATAAAGAGAAATTCTAAACCTTAGTTGAGTGTAAGATTTTAACATATTGTAATGGGCCTATGGAAACATAATTTTGGTATTACTGGTTTTGATTTAAGTTAGGAACCCCACAATATATGGGAAAATAGAATACAAATCCTGCTCATATTCTTTCCATTTGTGAAATTCATTACCCTGATTGTACATGATTAAAGCCTAATAGAAATCATATAATATTGCTATGTATTTTAAAAATGTGTGTTTTTCTTCTTTATCTTTGCTTTAGGGAACAGCCTTTAAGAGCTGGAAGATGAAAGCTCCGATTCCTCACTTGATTCTCTTATATGCTACTTTTACTCAGAGTTTGAAGGTAGTGACCAAAAGAGGTTCTGGTATGTAGTGTTCCTTCCTTTTCTCTCATTGTGGCTTAAAGTGATGGTGCTACATTTATACATGTACCATTTGTGAAGAGGTTGAAAATTATCCAGGATCCATATTGTGGAAGTACTGTATATTTATCTTTAAATGAGTGGAGCATAACTTACAGGGGATTAGAAAAGTGGGAGTAGGTTGAAAAAGACATGGTTTATTTTGGTAACTACTATGAATTGAAATGAATTGAGTTCGTGGTTGATTTCATTTTATAGTATGATTTTCAATTTTCTTTATAAAGAGTGTCATTTAAATTTTTTCATGGAATCATTGTGAATTTTTTTCATGTTAACTTTTACTGTCACCATTTCGATGTCAGCTATGGTTAGGGCAGATTCTTTGCTGATTTATTTTGCAGTTTTTCTTTTTTTAAAAAACCCAAAGTTATTAAAGAAAATGCCATGGGGAAGCATCCTAGCATGTAAGTAGGAAATATCAGAGATAAAGTAGAATAGTAATATGAAAGCTGCTGCTAAATAGAAAAATCTTGAGACTTAAGGAAAACTTTGATGTTAACACATTTTGGTTTTCAGTTGACTGTGATTCTTGGAGTTAGAAAAATGTATGAGACAATTGAATAAATAGCTATTATCTGTGTGAAGTTATATTACATCTAACAAATCACTGATAATAATCTTGCCACTTTCACATTTTACATGGGGCAACAGAATTTTTGAAACTCTAACTTTTCGGTACAATGAAGCATGGAATGTATTGTATTTAGTTGCTAACACTAGAATGTGTTATCTGTTAGTTCTAGAGAGACAGTGGGAAAAAGAAGAGAAAGTGTGTAAGAGGGTACAGAGTGTTGTGATATCAAGGACTGTACAAACAAGCATATCTTTGGAATTCAGAAAGGCGAAGGAATGAAAGGAATGAGATGGGGCCATAGCAACCATTCTCGGTCCCTTAGGTTAAGAGGCTTCAAACTCGTATTTGATTCGACAGTGAAAAGGGCCACATCCCAGGGAAATAGGGAGCAGTCTGCTGTTATAAGCCCCACCTTGGGAGGAAGTCTTGGGAGTACTTCCTGCCTATGCAGGCAGATGACACCACAGGCTTGAGAGTTAAAGGAAATTGGCTGAGACCATTAGCTCTAGAACTTTTGGTTGTTGTATAGCTGTTGTAGGCAGTATGAATTTGTTTATGCATTATTTTGTCTGTTCCTCTTGGTGGATATTTTTGAATGAAAGAAAGCCCTAGGGCAGTATTATGATATAGTAGCTTTTGAAATTTGAATGGATTACTGGCAAATAGCAGATATGTTGATTTGTCTGCCAAGTGCGAGGAAAGTTGAGCGTACCCGTGGAAGTTAGAGTTGGTAGAAGGGGGAAGTAAACTATGATGAAAGATGACAATTTCTATAACAGTGATATTTTATAGAATAGCAATTTACATTAAAAACACTTAACACAGATCGTTGAGGTATTGGCCACATAGAAGGACACTCATCTGTATAAGTATTGTAACGAAATGAAACTCTCTAAAATGGAAATGGTGTTTGAGTCTTAAAAACTTCATTTTTCTGGTTATCATATTTTATTATGTAAAATGTTTTTGTGTATGTCATATCTCTGTTTTCTTTGTCAAAATGCAAGTGTGATTTTTTTTCCATCATCAAATAGTGGTGACAGGTCCATTCTATATTCTAATTTTGGGAAAAGTTTATTAAATTGGAGCTTAACTTTGTATGTTTGAGAAACAAGGGAGCAGAGCTAGAAATGTGGGGCAGTTGGAAAATTCATATCTCTTGCTGCTCCAGAGACCTGAGAGAATTCAGTGACCTGTCTCAAGTTCAATTTTTATGTTAATGATCTAATTACTTTAAGAGGGTGGTAATAAAATGCTGCCCTAAGTTTGGCAAATGTTCTCAGACTTTGTTCTCTTCTGTTTACGAATATCGTTGTCACTTAGCTTTTTAATACCTCTGAAACTGAATGTGTTTTCTGTATAGTAATGTCAAAATGACAGGACAGGTACTGAGATTTAGTGACATGTTTGATTTCTTTACTTTTCTGTATAATATGAATGAAGTTGGCTCCCCCCAGTATCTGTGTTAAGATCTCACTGTTTGGAAGTTTATTTGTTTGATTTTTTTTTATATTAAGTATAATTTAGATACTATTGCTTTACCCATAGACTTTCATAGCTTGCACACATTTCAACTGATGCCTGTTTCCATGGCACCTTTATTGAAGGAAGCAGATATTTAGCTTTCTGAAGAGCAGCATTACTGATCTCCATAGATCAAGTAGAAGAGGAGTGCGCTTGGCATCTTCTTCAGAGATTAATGGCTCTATCTTCACACCCAGCCCAACCTGTAAAGCCAGAAGTACCAAGGCCAGGAAATAAAAATCAGTTTTTGATGTTTGATCTCACACATTAACCAACCAAGAAAGGCTCCTTATCCTTGTTCTTTTTTCTTATCATTTAATTCTCTTTTCTATTTTCAGTTTTGTCAGCCTTTGCAAGTTCCATAATCATGACTCCAAAGCCAGTGATTTTCACGTGTCTTTTGCTAGAATATTATTTTTAATTCATTGAGACCATTAGAAAAGCAGAACTAGATATTTTAATAACCAAGAATATATTAAGTATGATTATGATACCCACAGTGATGTTGAGTTTTTATGGGATGTTAATTGTGTATGGTGTTTACTTTAGGTAAACACATATGGTCATTCCATAAAAATTTAGAAGTAAGTATTTGCTTCTCATTAACAGAACTAATTTGAAAGCAATAGGAGCTCTTCATACCCAAGCTGGAGATGTATTATTTTTATCACATTTGCTTACACCCCCATTGCTAGTAATTTAAGGAACAAATTAAATATAAAAAAAGCAGTTATATTATTCTAACATTCTTGATTGAAACACTAAAATCTTTACTTTGTGATGTTTTGTATTGTTTTAATTATCACTTCATGTACACATATGATACAGTCAAGGACTGGGTCTGGTCTCTCAGATAATGTTCTAAAGTTTTGCATATATTTAGAATCAAGGCCTTTGACTTCTATGAAAGCAAAGAGCCTTTTTTACACATTAGATTTTTCTCTTGGAACAATTTTTTGCCTTGGGTTTAGTTTTTATAAGCAGCACTTGAAGAAAGAGGCAAAAACTATCAATATTACCCATCCTTTTCAAGTGTGTGAAGTGTTGTTAGCAATTCAGTAAGTAAACATTTGAGTAGCTGTAATTTGTAGAATTGTGTACAGAAACCACATGGAAATCAGATGCTTGCTTGGAGGGTCTTTGTATTTCAACCAGTTTAGAAAGGTTAACTTAATATTCTCATTGGTTTATTTGTTTCTCTCTCTCTCCCTCCCTCCATTTTCTTTATTAGTGTATTTGTGAATCTATTTTGAACATTTCATTGTGTCTTGGTAGAACTTCTTTTTAACTATAAAAATATTACTATTTTGCTCGAGATGTCAAAGTCTGTGAAATTCTATGTCTTTACAAGGTCATTCCAAGAAGATAGTATGGCCTCTGTTACTAATGGCTGTTCTTAAATATTTATTTTTATTTTGTGTAACTAGGAGAGTTTGGAATACAATTCAGGGGCAGAGAAATAATGTATGCATACAAAGTATGTCAAGTTTTGGGAACTAAAGTGTGAATTGTGATTTGGCCTGAGTTGGGACACGAGAGAAATGAAGCTAGAGGAACCTGGATGTAGAGCTTAGAAAAGAGAAAGAGGTCTAGACTTTTTGTCTGTTTCTCCCTGCTCTCATATCTATCCCTAGAATATAAGCTGACAAACGCAAGAACCATGATTTATATATGCTTATAACCTCTACAGTGCCAAATATGGTGAATGTTTCAGAGTCAGGGTTCTAGGACATGTCTTAATGAAGCAATGATTATATGAATGAATGAATCAGTCAATCAATGGCTTTAATTTTGAGGCTAGGTTATATCAATATTAGAAAAATAAAGGTAAAATAAAGACATTTAAGAAAAAAAAAGTTCTTTTTTAAATAGAAAGTAGTACAATGTATAACATGAGACCACCAAAGCAAAAAGATAAAACTCAGAATAAGCAATATCTAAGAAAGAGGGTTTATATGAAGACAATAAACCTTTGCAAATCATGAGTCTTTTCATGATTGATATGTAGTTCAAAATCTGTTAGAAGGACAAGAAAATGATTCTTTAAAAATTATCATACTGAAATTTTTATTATACTTAGTGCTGCTTTAAATAAATATTGCCATCATGCAAATGTTTTGATTTTAATGGTATTGTTCAATATAGACCACCATGAAAAAGGGTGTAGTTCATGATTACTGATTAATTAAATGTAAGCCAGTGACTTTAGTATACAAAAAAAGGTATTCACAATTATTAGACCAGATGGAGAAATGGAAGTGACTATAATATATAAACCAATGATTACATCTTATTCTAGAAAATATTTAAGATATGTTAAAGCTACCTAAAGCTGCCAGCTATTACCACAGGGGGTTGATCTTCTCTTCATTCTAGAAATTGACAATGGCCACTTATTTATGTAAAATGATTTAGATGCAGTTCTTTCTGGCAGCAAGAGGAAAACAAATCTCTTGAGGGTTTCTCAGACTCGTAACTCAAATCCCAAATAGTTTATAAAAGATAAGGGTAGTTAAATAACCAGTGACACAGTTTAGGTTCTAACCTTTGTGTTTGTTATTTTTGGATCATCATTTCTTCAGGTTAAAGAAATTATGCTACTGTGTAAAGAAAGTGAGATTTAACTGAAGAAGAGTAAGAAAGTCTAGTGGGGTGCTTCCATCTCGTACCAATGTGATTTATGTGCATCAGCTCTCCTGGGCATTCCTGGATGTCAGTGAGCTTAATTTTACATGATTAAGAGACAACCTAGCCCCCCCAGCATCTGACTTTTATTATGTTACCAAGTGTTTATTCCCAGTTTGTCAAACATGTCTAAAAGGATGAAACATTTCTCATTTTTCCT